CCCTTCCTGAATCAAGTACATATCCTTTGCTTTCAGTAGTACGGGCCCATACTACCTTCCACATCTATCCGTACTTTCCTCAGGAATTGCTTTGACTCCACCAGGTCCCTTATCCACTACTATCACTCCCAGCACTATCTCATCCTAGGCTTACCTTAGGGAAACCTCTGACTCAACTCAAACAACCCTCAACTACTGAAGGTCTCCTTGTGATGCCAATTAGCCATCACCTGGATACCATCACATGTGATGAGGCTCAGATAATCCTTCAAGTAAAAGACTCATCCCTACAACGGTTGGACTCAAACAAGAGCTGCGTAATAGGGCCAAATCCAACACTCTGAGATTATTTAACCCTGATCACATGTGACGTGACGTATCCACCTAATGGCTAACTCCCATCACTCAAAATCCCACAATGCACAAAGCAAGCAGCATTCGGACAAGGGGAAAATCTAACCACAACATACTCAAGCAATCATATCCAAACAACAAGAATCTGAACTAACATGCAACACAACTCATAAACTCAGGCATAACCTAAACATGCTATCCTACTACTGTCTAATCAGCACTATCATGCAGCTAAAACACATATAATAGGCACATAAGGCATCATTCCTAGATCCTTAGTCCTAATCTAGCTTACTGTTCTATCAACTGATAATCATAACATAAACTTGTATGGGTATTTTGGGGTACTTACTTGAGCTCGGTTGATTGCATGCACCACACCCTTTTTCTCTTTTCAAAGTTCTTTTCTTTCTGAATTATTTTTGCCTTTCTAAAACTGTTTTCTTTCCCAAAACTCTCTTTTTACAAAACTGTCTTTTCATTTTGAAAACTTCTATACCAATCTCTCAGTTTGAGTTCAGACACACTCGAGAGCATGTCCGAATCCCTCAAACCAAGGCTCTAATACCAACTTGTAACATCCCAAAATTTAAGACTAAAAATTTCATTTGATAAAACATTACGTTAAGCAAATTCATCGTTTTCAAACATAAACAAAGTGTTAGTTTCCAAAATACATATTCGTTATCAGAGTAAACATTCCCAGGCTGTCTAAGCTATGGTGTGTGCCATGCAATCATCCCGAGCTCCATCATCCACTACCGGAGGTACCGGAAACCGAAACTGAAAACCGTAAGCATGAAGCTTAGTGAGTTTCCCACCCTACCACATACCATGCATAACCACATACTGCACATACTGGGCCGCGCCCGCTATCCTGGGCCTCACTCCCTACCTCGGGCCTCGCCCGCTACAACGGCCCCGCCGCTCCAGGCCCCGCTTGGCTTCGAGCCCCACTCGGATACAGATGCCGAGTCGCCAGCTAACACGTGCTCGAAATCCCGACCCTAATCGGCTTGTCAGGCCATGAACTCGCCGAGTCCCTCTTGCAAACTTCTAAATAAATACTATAGAATCATCATACCGAAAACGGGTCGTCACAATATATGTATGTATATATATATATATATATATATATATATATATATATATATATATATATATATATATATATATATATATATATATATATATATATATATGGGCTAAAAGTGTAACAAAATTTTGAAATCTAGGACAAAAGTGTAACCTTTGGACCAAATTTATAATAAATATTGAAATATGGGTTAAAATATAAATTTTGGATCAAATTTGTAATAAAAATTAAAATCTAGGCTAAAAGTATAACTTATGAAAATTGAATGACTTGTTTAGCAGCTAAAAGAGTCAAAATGAATACATTTTCAGGTTTTTTGCATTTAGTTGATTAAAAAAAAATAAGAACTAAATCGATTATAAATCCTAAACAAAATGATTTTTCAATAGATTTTTCTTTATTATTTTTCCTATTATTAAATTAAATTTATAATTTTTATATAAATTTACTTAAAATATAGAAACTAAAGGAATAAAGGTGATTATTTCCATGGTTTAGGAATTAGGAAAGTGAAGGAGAGATGTGGAGCAAAACCGAAATGAGGGTGGTGAGTAAAATCTTGATCTTAAAAGGAATAAAATCTTCAAAACTGAGGGGTGAGTAAGTACATTAAAATGCTATGACAAAACGAATTTTATTATTCACAAAAAAAAAAAACGTGGAAGAAACATGGGGAACGTTGGGCCCAAATGAAACCTAATTAAGCCCCAGAACGACTCGGCCGATCGTCAATCTTTTGGTGCTATCACAACAAGATTTCCGCAGCATCCTCATCATCAGTGTACTCTTCCTCTCCTACCTTTCTCTGGTGTGTGATTTTAATCGTCGATTCCCCTACAAGTTTTTATTTTGTTGCCTTTTTAATTGATGTGATGATGGCTAAGATTCATATAATATACCTAATTACCTTTTCGAAAGTATATTAGATATTTTAGTTGATAACAGCGATATATTTTTTTTTTCTATTGAATATTTGTATGCAGAGGATATTCAACTAAATAAGCAACTCATAAATATATAAGAGCCCGATATTTACCTGTCAAGGCTTTCATTCACAACCAATTACTTTTTCCATTCTATGGATGATGTAAATGATATTACGACGAGAACATAAGTCAGTTTGATTTTATTTAAGAAAATTTACGATTTCACTGAAACATGATCCTGTTGAAAAATCTTTAAATAGAAACACAGATGGTTATGATTGCATGCTATTAGTACTGAAGTTTCATCTCCTTGGAAAAATGCAGGATTACACAATGTCAGATTATCTATGCGAAGACTTGATAATTGCAATCTTCACAAGACTGCCACCCAAATCCCTCCTCCGGTTTAGATCACTCTCCAAATCATGGTATTCTTGTATTTCTAGTCCCTCTTTCATCCGCATGCACGCTTCTCGATCCACACAAAAACTCCTCCTCAGACATCATCTTCGTTATGGCTTTGAATACTAAGCCTGCCTAATTGTCCGCGGAGACCTAGAGACCCTTTGGAAGGGTTTGGGCTTGCGCATGGGTTTGGTTTCGACCCAATAGGGGCGACATTTTTCTATTTCCTATTACCGTGTGGCTGTTGCTCAACAGTCATCAATAATGTGGCTGTCGTCCCTATTTTTGTCGCCCCTATTGATGCATGTCGCCCCTATTGGTGCCACCCCTATTTCTAAATAATTTTTTTAATAAAAAATTATTGATTGCAAGATTACTATATGATTATGATGTTCATCTTGAATGGAGTACATCCATGTTCTGCCGTATATTCGATTCAAATGGTTCAAGATTACAAAAAAATGACCAAATAAAATAAATAACAAACACAAAGTATAAAAAATATTTACATTAATCTAACAAAGTTTACATATGTTGAAACATAGATAGGTTGTTCAAGAAGGAAGAGATATGTGCCCAAAAGAACATATGTTGGCACAGTTCTGTCCTACCTAGTCTCATCGACAGAATGCTTCATATCATTCAGCGTGAGCATCAGAGAGCTGTTGACGCTGCACAGAAGCAATGATAGGTTGATCCAAATCGGTTAAGATCAATGTTATTATGAAGACAGAAGATCTTGAGTATTTAGAGGGTGAGAGAGAAGAACACATGTTGACAATGTTAGTAGTATAATGTACAATGTATTCTCCTTTGGTAAAATAAAATTTCACAACAATTTTTGAAACAGACAAGTTATAGTGAACTAAATTTTAGCAGATTATGTTTACAAAGCCAAAATATAAGGTAGCCAAGCATAACGTTGAAGTCATAAAGTAACATTGTCTAACACAAGTAAAATCAAATCAAATAAGTGTTATTGTCCCTGAGTGCATTGAGCAAAATTTTGTTCTCAAAGTAAAAAACCTTTCCTTTATTGCAATCAAAGAGAACTTTGTAACAAACATCATAAAGTTGATTAATGGAGATAAGAATGCTTTTTAGGCCCTGACATAAAAAACATTTTTCCAGCTTGAACAATAAGTGTAGTGCTAGAAATATGCTCATCTGTAATTTCTTCACTACTCACTTCACCCTGATAAGATTCATCTAAGTCACTGATCAAATACATTGTTTCCTTCCAAGAAACCAAAGCTATAGATTTTTCTGTGCTTGATTCCTTCATGATTTATGTACAAAGAGCTTTGGTCTCTTCGTAATTTCATAGATTTCCAAACAAGGAGTTGAGATCCATGAGATTGATCTTCTCATTGATTTTAATAACATCAACATGATGTTCCCATCCTTTTCCAAGGCAATCCGAGAATTTTAAAACTTAATGAGAAGAGTTCTTGACGACTCACAACCTGTGCATATCATTCACCAAACAATTAAACTTGCTAATGGTTTGAGTTAGAGATTCACCTTATTGAGCGAAAAAATGCCCATATCTCCGATAAGGTTGTTGGTGGTTGTATCTTGAACTTCTATAGTGCCTTCTTAAGCCATCGTCAGTGTCTACATTATCTCTTGAGCTAAATTACAATTATGTACTAGATGATACATGTGATATGGAAGAAAGTTTCCTATAGTTGCTCTAGCTTTCACATCAAGGCTAAAAAGTCTCTTGTCATCATCTTCATAACTAGTCTCTTGCTTTTGCTTCAAGGGACCAACAGGAGCGTTGTTAACCATAGGTTGATGTATATGAACATGAGGACACTACTAGAAAAATATCCTTTAATGACACGTAGACCATGATACACGCTGTTTTATGATATGCAAAAGTGTGTGCCCTAAAAATAATGTCAGTTCTTCCAAAATGTGAAGATTTAGGACGTGCATTTTCGCGTGCCCTAAAATTAGTTTAAAAAAAGGCGGACGTCACCTATCTTAAAAAGCGTATCGTGAAATCATGTCGCTTTATATTTTTTTTTTAAAGAAACGCGCATCTTCATCTAGTAGCTTCATCTTTAGTAGCAGCGGGAAAAGGAATTCCCAAAAAAAAAAAAATAGAAAAGTTGAAAACCCCGCCATTGCAGGGACCATTATCTAGGGCTTTTTCAAGGAGTGCTCTCTGTAATATTCGCTCCCTCACCCCACCTCCTATCGGCGACCTCATGTCATCTTTTTCACCAACGACCTTGGCTCATCTCTTTCCACCAGTGACCTTAGGCTCACCTCACCTCATTGAAGACTACAATGATTGCTCAACTTTACAAGCCCTAAGTATGATTATGGTATGTTTTTGGTTTACAAACCCTAAGAGGTTAAGAGGGACTAGAGAGAAAGAGAAAAATGGTGATAGATGATGATAAGGTAAAGTGAACTCGAGATTTGCTATCGAGCTTCTCATACTTCTGCTCCCATCAACACCATATCAAGATTTGCCACTCTCGACACTATCAACACCACCTCCTTCGATACTGATCAATACATGAACAATCTTGTACGCCCTCTCATCTCATGTTGAAATTGTATCCCTTAGATATTTTCTCTCTTCTTTTATCTCTTAATGTTGTATCAAAATCTGGGTTATATTTACAATTTAATTGAGCCCATTTCATATTAGAGGTAAATTGTTTCTCTCTAAGGGAATCAAGTGTATATACATATCACTATGCTATTCAAGACTTACACTGAAGGTTCCACATTACCCTTATTCTAGAGTTAGAAATCTAGATTTCTCCATGTAGCCACTTAGAGGAGTAAAATTGTTTAATTAAAGAGTCAAGGTTGAACTTGTACGTTAGTTGTGTCTTTCTCCTGACCCTATCTTAAGTTACAAGAATCTTGAGTCTTTAAAGGTCAAGTTAAATGACCTATATACCCTTTGTTGAAAATTAAGTTAAATCTACCCCACATCCATCAAGTCTTGCCATTATAATTATAAATAACCTAAGCGCACTATAAGAAAACTGTAATTGTTCTATAGCCCCCCCCCCCCCCCTTTTCTTTATACTACTTAAAGCCTTTAGAATTCTCTCATTGTAAGAATTCTAAGAGTAATTTCAAGTTTCTTCCCCATTTACCTATTTCTTCTTACTTCACTTGCTTCACTTAATTACTAATCATTTATTTTAGTAAGCATGTTTACTTCTTTCTCCAACCATTTTCCTCATAATTTCTTAATTTTCCCATTCTACCCTCGTTGTGTTCTGTTCTGTTCGTGTGGTAACATAACAATTAACAGGTACACTGCATTTTCTGAGCTATTACCACTTCACAACTCCATTATTGAAGGTTGATAAGATTTGTCAACAAATCTCTACCACCACCCTTACCATTAATAATTCCATCACATTCTCCACCCCTTTTGCTACTTTCACCTTCACTGCATCTGCAAACTTTGAAGTCAAATTCCCTCAAGAATCCAGGTACCCCCTTTTTTTACAATACAAATGTATAGACTTCCATTCATTTTTTTATTATAGCTTAGCACCCTACTTTGACTTCTAATTCTTCCTATTTCAACATTCTACTTTGAAAATCTACCAATTTATATCAATATCATGAAAATGACCTATTTACCCTATGTTGAAAATTAAGTTAAATCTATAATAAATATTTCATGATCTTTTCAGGTACAATTTAAGGAAGGGAGTTTTCAGTCTCCAAAGATAAAGTCAAATGTAAGCCTTCCGGAAAGTGTTGAGATTTTTGGCCAAAATATAAATTTTTCAGCTGTACAGTAATCTCTGAACCTTATGTTTGATACTTATATTATTCACCAACATCGTTTTTGATGTGGGATTATCCCCAAACCGTTGCTAGAAACCACCTGTCACCATAATTAAAACCCTATTTTTGGTGAATGGAAAAAATTAATCTATCGAATTAAGCAAGTTTGGGATCTTGATTTCTTGTTGCAAACGATTATTGATACATTGATCCATTCAACCAGTTTACAAGTTAGATGACTAAGCTTGTTTGTGAAATTAAAAACTAGTTTGTTATCGAAGTTTTTTGAAAAATGTAAAACATTACTTTTGGTATTTTATAGATTTAAAGTGATATGGTAGATACAAATAGCATATACAAAAAAATTGTCCCACAAAATTCAATGAAATCTAATGAATCAAACCCTTTGCCAGAGGCTATGGCAAGTTTAGCAGGTACCATTTCAGGTCAAGCTCCTCTTAAGATTCAAATCCCAGGTGAAAGAACAAAATCCTGGCTTTTAACCCATGAAATTCCAAACAAATTTGTGATGGCTGGGATTTGGGGCTAACCTTGAGACTGGTATCCCAACTTCCTGTACACAAGGCACTCCCATCAGCGGACAAATCCAAACAGCTGAGAGGAGCCTCATGTGAGTTCTGGAGAGTTCAGATTTAAAACCACCCGCCCTCATTCAATTTCAAATGTAACTTTTAAGTAAAACAGTCATTCAGATTTCACACCCACCATCTTGCATTTATATGTATTTACCTTAGCCAAAAGAGTATCCCATACGAAGCAATCACCATTAGAGTTGCTAGCAAAGAGCAGAAAACCTGATATGAAGAATGCAATGGAAGTGACATCAGGGATGTTGTTGTTATTATCGTGTTGTGGGTGAGTGTAGACTTGAAGCTGGTGTCCAATTCTGATGTCAAAAGTTCTACACGTTCCATCATCTAATCCAGTTTTCCATCTGGGAAAATTTTCACTGAATTAACATCCCCTAAGTGCCCCTAAAAAGTTCTAACTGCCGGACTTGCTACCCGTGTGTCCCAAATAAACTTGGACAAGGATTTAAGGATTTCCAGATGTGATGGTGGCCTCTTTGTTCTTTGATCAACTTTTCTGTCTTTTGTGTTTTGCCAGATCAGATGCTTATGAACCCATACAATTCACTTATCTTTTTGCTCTGTATGTTGAACTTTCACCAGGCATATGGGGACTCCTCATTCCAGGATTGTAAGAAAGCATCTAAAGACGTAATGTAGGTTATTGTTAACAAACTTCAGGTACGTTCATTGTTAATTTGTTTCTTATAATTATTCAGATCCTTATATAGCCGTTTGGAATATATGTACTATCAAGAATAAAGAGAAAACAATATTGTGCATCTGGTCTTTCAGGATAACTAGTTTTTGTGTTTCGATCTTTTATATTTATATTTATTTTCATTTTCATGACTTGTAGATGTTACTTTTCAGGAAATTGGTTCCTCATTGTCATTTTCAGGTGGTGTAAGCTTTTGATCTTACTAAAGTGTGTCACACCTTTAGAGCAACTGAGGAAAGGCTATTGCAACCGAAAACAGTTATATATTTTGAAATCCATGAATGTAGGATTTTCATTTGTTCATGTCACAACATTCTACTTATGAGAAAAAAGTATCTTTGTGACAATATATCATACTTGATTTTTTTTTGTAGCTAAACTTGATTGTGTGATTAACAAAAGCTATTTTGTTTCAGCTAATGCTCAAGTCATTACCTGCCATCAAGCCTGGTGGACAGCAGCCCAATACACCAGGTGGCAAACCAATGATATGGAGGATTTTTAGGTTATATAGTTAGGGAAAACCTATTAATAACAATGTACAATTAGATCCCCTTAATACGAATGTATTACAATTTTTTAACATGATGTTATTGGATGAAATTGATTGCTTTAGTATATATCTTTTTATACATTTTTGTATTATGCGTGAATCAATATCGTAAAGGCACGTCGTATGTGCATATCGTAAATGGTTGCTGAAGTTTTTGACACGCAAATGTGTGTCATCTTTATTTACGACAGAGCTGTAATGATACGCAATGCGTGTCCTAAACGCGCGTCATAAGATTACGACTCACAAATGCATGTCGTCTTTCTTTATGACAACGCCTTCCTTGATACGCATTATGTTTTGTAACTGCGCATCGTAAATGTGTGTCGTAAATGCGTGTTGTAAATGTGCATCATAAATAGACGACGCACAAAAGCGTGTCGTCGCTCGTTATGACTTGGCCTTCCTTACACATTTGTGCATTGTCCGAGCGTTTTACAACATTCATTACACGTCATAAAAGGCTGTTTTTCTTGTAGTGGAAACCTTCTAAAAAATCATAAGAATTCATAGTCCATGGTTCAAGAACAACCACATACTTATTTTTCCACATGGTGAAATTGTGCTCATCGAAAGGAGGAATCTTGTTGAGAGAAAATGATTTTGGATTATAGGAGGTCGACATGATAACTTGACTTTATCAAAAACCTGCTCTGATACCAATTGAAGGGTTGTATCGATTGGATACAATTCAAGTATAATTAACAAAGAACAAACTAACTAAATTAAGACTGGACATGAAAATAAAGAACACGAGTAATCATAAAGATGTCTTTCACCAAGAGAACGAAGGTTACAAAGAAAGCCACCGAGACTTACATTAGGGTTTCACGCTAATGTTGATTATATACAATTACATAGAAAATATCGCACTAATTATCGGGTGTATACCTATTGTAAGTAAAGATCTAATCCATATCACCAAGATTAAGGATTTGATATCTATTCCATACATATATGTATAACTGCCTAATATACGAAGATTACATAAGATCATTATTGTCACACCCCGAAAACCGAAGGCGGAAACATTTCCGGGGCGGACTCCACGTTGAATATCAAATCCAATGTACATAGTAAGCAAGTAAATAACCATTACATTACATATTAGAATTTACATCTGTTCAAAAGTAAGTGTTACAAGTAATGATACATATGTGTGTGTGTGTATATATATATATATATATATATATATATATATATATATATATAGACAAAAGTAGAGACGAATCTTCTGTACGCTCCGTCTTCTCCAAAAAGGATCGCTGAGTACCTGTCTAAAATGGACCTGAGAATACAAGCAGTTTGAAAATCAGCATAAAGCTGGTGAGTTCATAAGCGGTTTTGTTTTCTGAAATTGTACAAGTTCCTTTCTGTTTTCTAAAAAAGTTTCACACCAAGAAAATCCCATATTTTCTTAAAAGTTGGTTACCAAATCCAAAATGTAATGTAAAAGATGTACACTGAAAACATGATTGTTCTTGTGAATTGTAAAGTTTAGTTATTTAAATTGTTGCACGTTTCTGGTTCCGTACTACTACTATTACCCAGGAAAATGCTATATTTTCCTAAATGTGTGTGAAGTGTTATCAAATTTGAAAGTAATGTACAAGTATCTACCATACTTAAAGTGTGTGTGTGGAGTCTCCTGAAAGTCTGATTACCTTTAAATGTGCATTAGTTTTTATACATATATAAAACTAATAAATACATGCAAAGTATTCATAATATCGATTGCGAATCCTTAACCATACTTCAGACTAGATATGACTTGAGCTGAGGTCGGTATCTTTTTATGACTTTTGTCACCCTTGAACCTTGCGGTTCGATTGTAGCTAGCAGCCAGGTGCGGGATAGTCAGTCCCGTATAGATCTATACACTCAAGTCACGTTCTCCCTTCTGGAGATTCTAGTTACAGGGATAGTCCTCCACTCTCTCGTGCCAAGGGAAGTGTTACAAAGGACGTGTCTCCAATCTTTAAGATTACTCTTTACTCTCGTGTCTAGGGGGAGTAGTATCTATGACTGACTAAGTTCTAATGATGCCTGTCCTTCACACTCGATCCTAAGGGGTGTTTTATTAAGGACAATACAAATGTTCTATGATTTCTATCAGTAAAAGTGTGAACAATCAACTGTGAAGTATAAAGTATAACACTATATAATAAGAATTGAAATAGGTTTGAAGAACAATTCTATAAGTTAAACCGTTTGTTAATATGCTTTCAATTCTTAAAGGTGTACGGATTATGAAACCATTTAAATGAAATAATGAATTTAATTACAAGATATTATTGTACTTTTTCTTGTATTCCCCGCTGAAAATATTGAAAAACCATTGAAAAAGGGTAGAGGTATGAACTCACCAGACGAGGAATGGTGTCGACTAGGATGCTAAACGTCGGATCGAGGCTTGAAAACGTGCGAGGTTCCTATGTAATATGAAATGATACACAAATGTATCTAAAGACTTTAAATCACTAATTGGATAAGCTTTTACACTCCAATACACGAAAATACTCTAATTAGGTGTTAGGAGTGGTCCGAGTAGCATCTAAGGGTGTGTAGGGCATAAATAAAGTGTTTACTCTTCAAAAGTAATCCCTTAGGGGAGTTTACGGTCCTATGACCATATTCCCATGAGTTTAAGGCCGTAAACTCATGGGTGGTGTGTTCTTGGATGCTAAATGTTCTTACAATGCACAAAGGAAAGTTCTAGGGTTGATTCTATGGCTTAGGAAGTGATTGGGACTTGAAAGGGCCTTGGAAAAGGAGTTTACGGTTTATGAAGATGCTCTTGGGGAGTTTACTACCTTAAACACATGAGTTTACTACCTTAAGCTCATGTTTGTCCATGAATCATGCATTTTTGTGGTTGAAGGTTAAGCATACAAGGTTCTAGGTTCAATTCCAAGCCATACAAGGTGTTAAAGGCACTTTAACACCCATTTGAACAGTTTATGGTCTAAGGAGATGAGTTTATGGTCTAAGAAGTTAAGTTTACGGTCTAAGAATGTTCTTGGACCGTAAACTCTAGTTTTTCCCATTTATGTATGTTTTGGTGCATTTCTTGAAGGGTTATAAGGTTCTATGCATTCATGGAGGTTCATTTGAGGTGTTTAGGGGCAAACTAACACCCTAAAAGGTGTTTAAGGTCTATGAATGAGGGTTTATGGTCCAAGCGTGATCTTGGACCGTAAACTCGTGTCCATGCCTCATTTGGTGGATTTTGGGGCCCTAAGCTCATGCATGCAAGTCTAGAGGTCTTGTCTAAGCACGAGAAGTGATTTGGAGGAGTTTTAGGGCTTCAAAACTCTCTCAAGGGGTGTTCACGGTTTTGGGAGGGTCCCTAGACAGTAAACATTTGTTCTTGGGTGTTTTTGGAAGTTTCAAACATGAATTTGCATGTCAAACAAGTTAGATAACAAGTTAGGGTAGATTACTTACCAGATTGAGGCTTGAAAGGAGGCTTTTGGACCAATTTCGAGTTCTAGAGAGAGAGTAATGAGAGAAAGTTTTTAGAGAGAGAGTAAAAGCCTCAAAATGATGTCACTCAATCCTTTATATAGGAGTTGAGTTTGTGGCGCGGAGGAATTCTACCCGATACTGACGATAAGCGGGGCTTTTTGTTTGTACCCGATTTAATTGTTTTATAACTTGACGGAATAAATTATTATTTTTCTAAATAATAATTTGGGGCATTTCAACAAGTTTCTAATACGTTTCGACAATTATTAAATCATAAACAAACTCAAATCGACTTAATTTAGAAACGAAATGGAAATAACTTAAGACGATGAATTTTTAACGATAGAACGGGTTACGACGACAGGACGACTTCGGGTTGTCATAATTATCTTCATGCTAACGTTGATATGGTCTTAAGGCGTTGGCGCTGGTGCTGATGCTAATGTTGATGCTGACGCTAGAGCTAATGGTCAACATATAAATTGTTTGACTCATCATGTCATAAGGTGTGACCATATAACCATTGACTTTTGATCATTTTGACTGTTGGTTAAACTTTGAGGGATTCGACCATAGATTGAGGTTTGGCCTTTGATTATTATTTACATTGTGTTAGTTGATTCGTTTGTAGAGACTGCGTTTGGGATTTTGATATTTTATTTAGGTGAGTTTTCTCACTTTATCACATGTGACATTATATGTCCTTTCTTTAATGGGATATAAGTATTGTTAGGGTATGAGTGTGCTTGTAGACTAGGTAGTCTTTGTTATGTAGGTGATTGATTAACTATATGATACTGTTATGTGTCATGTCTGGATGGGTATTGGTAGTATTGGTTGATCGCTAAGTGAAAGTCGTAGAGATTGTACGTATTTTAAATGGATGATATTGTTCTGTGTCATCTCTATATGATACTGTTATATGTCATGTCTGAAAACTCAAGTCCAAACCTTATTGCATTGTTCATGTTTAATATATTTCTCTCATGTAGGATCATCTATTCCATTGTCTATCATATTTGTTAGTTATGAATGATTATGCATTCGTAACGAGACCTATCAATGTTGGTAATTGCCTTGGTATGATTGTGGATGGCCGGAAGCCGATGGTTCTATGATTGTTGGGAGCCGGTGCGTAAGAGCGGTAAGGGTAGGATGGCAGGGTGCAAAAGATTGCATATTAATGTTAATATATATGCCTGATCGGGATGATGGTGTATGGGCTATAGAGACAAGAGCATTGCTTGTATGCATTGTTTGTATGCATTGTTTGTATGGTGGAATATGTTCTATACTAGGGAACTCACTATTTTTTCCTTACATCGTTAAGTTTAATGTTTTTCACGATGTTCGAGGGAAGGGTGCGACGTGATTGTACATTCGCATCAAAGATTCATTCTTATTGAATTCTACTGATTTTTATAAACTAACTCTGTTTAAATTTATGTTTTCAAAACAAAAGGATAATATAATATATTTTCAAA